TTCATGTCCAGCCCTTTTACCTCTCCCCCCTCGACGTTGTCAAAGGGTGATGACGACTAACTTGGTTATGGTTTTGTTGGCACTTTGCACGGACACAGACATGCAGTCGCTCAAGTAGGCGGTATACTTGCGTGACGTTTGCCCTTTACCGTTAGTGCCAAGCGACTGTATCTGTCAATCCCGCGTTTCAGAGGTTCGCTTAACGACTGATCGCAATTAATCTAGTGTAAGATTATAATGAGTTCAACTAACTACACCTAATGGGGGACCTAAACGTCTGCTGTCACTCGAACATCATCAGTGTATCATCGTTTTTCTTTAGTGTTATTACTTTGTTCCTGTGTGCTATGCTCCATGAGTATGATAAATGACGTGAGTACGTAATGTGACAGTGTCGTAAACTTGAGTGCCAAGAATGAGTAGAAGAGAGTTGTAACAGTATAACATATGAGTTACACAATGTGACGCGTTTTTACAGCGATAACGATACTCATCATAATCTTGTGTTGGTCGTCGAGTCGTTGTAGGTTCGACTGAGCGACCTCAAGGTGGCATTCCGTCTTTCTTATGTAGGTCTTTTGCAGTAAAGGTTTGCCAGACCCTGTAAAGAGTTCTGTTTGGAAAGAGGTTTCTAAGAGTAGACGTAGTGCATGGTCCTAGATATGAGGGTATAGTCATGTGTATAGATAGTCTTCTGGAAGTCAAGTGAACAACGGTAGTTTTGTCTCTCCTGCGTCGTGTTGACTGCAAGGATTTTGCCTGAAATCTGACGAGCAGTGAAGTGTTATTGTTACTCTAAGTGGTAGGGACCTTTTATCGACCGCCCGCACGTTCGTGTTCGCAAGTATTAATTACGTGGGATGAACTTGCAGCAGAATAGAGAGTACGATGATGACAAGGTTACCGTCTTCGTAATTTATGGACGAATTTAGACTATCAAAAAGTATAAAACCAAAATATGCCCGCGAGTGACGTTGGTATAATGGTAGGTAGCTAGTTCTGTACCGATATGCAAGAAAGCTTCACAGAGAGTACCAAGGAGTGGGTGGAAATTGGCATGCTACCTACGTATGAAACGTTCAACTTTATCGATTACTGCCGCGATGTGCCTGTCTTTGCGCTGTCCGAGGCAAACGGAAGTGGGTAGTTGCTGATAGCGACGCTGCATTTGCACGGATCCAAAAGTCTAGCCTTATAAACAGTGTCAACGAGGCTAGTCTAGTCCAGAGGAGGTAAATATCTTAAATAAATCTACTACAAACAGAGACTAAAGATGGTTGTTGTGTAGCGGTTTCTAAGGCCCAGCTCATGAAACCGTAGACACAAAATTTGTCGACCTTAGGGAAACACTTAACATAGAGTGAACGCGCAGGAAATTAAAGAACTATGTCGCCGTAGGTTGTAAGTAAACAATATAGTGTCTCTAGTGCTGGGTACTTTCGATTAGCGCTTTTCTGACGAGGTTATACGAGCAACATTACTGCACAGTAGGGGAAAAATCACTCCCCTAAAATAAATGCTTAACGTCCGTAGTTGGACTCTTGCGCCTCTCTTCATCAACATCGTACAGAGCACCAACTACAATACTGTAAGCATAATGCGAACATGATAATGGACATTATCGAGGAGATCTCGTCCAAGAAGAGGCTGTGCACGTGGGTCGAGTCCCGTCGACGTGGAGCAACCACTCAGGTCGACACACACACACACACGACCCACACACTCCTTTAAGGGTCCAGCTCTCCCCAGCTCAAGCAGAAGGACCATCACCATGACGACTCTCAGTACTTCCTCTCATCTCTTTCATCTTGTTCTTGTTTTCTACAGCTGTAACTCTGTCTACACACCTCTACTCCTATCGTTCATCGAGCATATATCCACCTAGCGTGTATCACCATCGACTCCACACACACTAATCTAGGTTTTTTATTTGAAATACCCAAAGTGACTACTGTCCCCTTTTTCACAGTTAATTAATAGTCTACATTGACACGAAAACACGTACTTGACTACACCCATGAGTTAACGTGTATATATACTTATAAAATTTACAATACCACGTTAAAGTAAAATATTAAAAAGAAATTTTCAAAAGGCAACGAGTTGTTGCACTTAATCTCACATCATCAGTGCTGACTACGTGAGCTACCAGATCGACACCCACACACCTTTTCTTGTTCCGTTTTATACTCCGGTCGGTCTCTCTAGGAGTCTAATTTTATGCAATACTTCCACAAGTAAGTTTATCGAAACCGACGTAAGGTGATATAACACCGGTCACAGGGTGTAAATCTTGTGTTTTTATGGAAAATAACAACATTTATTGAATGATCTATGATGGTTTTATTCTTAAAAGGAGGTGATTTGGAACCTATTGTGTCGGAGGTTAAATAGGCTTCCAACGATAAATGTAAAAAAGTTTCACACTGGTTCGTCGAGCTCGTAGAATCTATTTGTTACAATTAACCTTAAAAAACTCCTAAGTTTCTAAATTCAAATAAAATTGAAGAAGATATGATCACGTACTAATTTTTTTGTCCAGAGTTAAAGGTAGTGTAAACACAACACAAATGCATCATTGGAGAATGTTGGACTCCACGCCTTGCAGACGCTTGTTTGTTTCATTGTAGAGACTGAAGATGTCGGCCAGGTATGCTGTTTTAATCCAGAATGACTCAGTCACTTGCTCTGACAGTGCGCGGTTACGAGTTTGTAGAAACTCTTCAATTTTTTCCTTCAGTTCTACAAAGCGTGCCAGCACTCGGCCGCGTGAGAGCCAGCACACCTCGGTGTGCAGGAGGAGGGTTTGGTGCGCTTCATCCTCGCAGAAGTCTGCGAATAGGGGGGCGACCTTTGATGAAATTGACTATTTTAACAACAGTTGAGAGTGTTACGCTGAGGTCTTCTGACAGTTTCTTGCTGGCCAGGGCCTGGCGATGTATCACACAGTGAAATATTGTGCAGTGTGGGGCCTTTTCTTTCAAGCGACTGTTAAATCCCGTTTTTCCCCATCATTGAGGCAGCTCCCTCTGTGCAAAATGCAACTAAATTCTCATAGGAAAGATTGTGGGATGAGAGGTAAGAATCCACTGCAGTAAAAATGTCCTCACCCCGGGTGGTAGTGGTAAGGTTGACTGACATAAGAATGTCCTGCTTCAAATCTTCCCCATCGATATATTGCACATAAACAATCAGCACAGCCTCGTCTGCTACAGTTGTGGTTTCATCAAGTTGTATGGCAAATGGCCCCTTTCCAAGCTTTTCGAGCAGCTGCAGCTCGCAGTTACTTGCCATCTTGTCAATTCTGTCTTTCACCGTATTGTTTGACAGTGGTACAGTTTTTAGCTTCTCCGCCACCTGCGGGCCGCACAGTTTCTCAACCATCTTAATGCAAGCTGGCTTAATGAGCTGCTCGCCAATGTTGTGCGGTTTCTTTGCCTTTGCTATTAAAAGTGCAAATTCAAAAGAGGCCTAGGTGGCCTTCTGTGCATCGCTGCCAGCCCTAACAAACGCTGTTCTAATATCCATCGGCTTGTTTGCTTTTGCAAGGTGTTGTTTCTTTATGAAAAAGTCCCGATCACGCCCGACTGTTTCTGGGTGCATGGTCTGTTGGTGTCTCTTCATTTTGCTGGGTTTCATGCTTTCGTTGGCTAGCTTCTCTCTGCATATCACACACTCTGGGCGGGTTTTGTCCGTTCCCTCCATGAAACCGAAGTTAAGATAGCTCTCTAGGTAGGTCCTCATTTTCTTTTTGATTGCAGATGAGCTGTCATCTCCTTTACGTTTTTCAGACATTTTTAGACAAAAATATTCACCTTATGAAGTCGGTCGCTGGCTAGCAAGCGCAGCTACACCGT